ACTCCTTTTTCTCCCTCTTGGAGAAGGCAGATAATCTCGACTCCTTCTTCTCCCTCTTGAAGAAGGCAAAAAATCTTGAGGACTGGACTAAGAAGCCTCTCTCCTTAGAGAGCTCCCAAAAGACTCGCCAAGGCCACAGGAGGAGCAAGGGTGTAGCTAGCCTGGAGCAACTGTATGATCCCCTCACACTACTTCTCCCTAACGCTCAAGCTCACCTTCTCCTTCCTCTCATAAACCCTGATTTTCTTCTCAAAGGCTCCCTCTCAGAGTTCCTTCTTCAACCACGTTCCTCTCTCTCTACATTAGAAGAAAAAATTAAAACATAGCTTTTATAATAGGCTTCAAGAAATCCTAAAAATTCAAGTTAGTCGTCGCTGTTCGTACAGTAGGATCCAAGTTCGTACATTACGATCAGTTCAAAACTAGTCCCGTCCAGTACGATGTAAACAATAATTCAAACGAACTATTCAAATTTTATGAACAAATCGTACAATACGATACAAAGATCGTCCTGTACGATCTGTTGAATTTCCTATATTCGGACAGGACGATTCCTGGGACGACTGAAAGTTGTCTCTGTCACTCGTCCTGTACTGTTCTCATTGTACAGTACGATTAGTTGTTTTTAGGTAAATCGTCTAGTACGATATGAATATCGTACAGTATGATTAGTTCAAAAATCGTAGCTTTGTCTGGTACGATCTTTGGGACGACAAAATTCATCTCTGCCAGTCGTTTGGTACGATCGACATCGTACAGTATAATTATTTTAAAAATTATGGTTTCGTTTGGTACGATCTCTCGGATGACCAGATTTTGTCTCTGTCAGTTGTCTGGTACGATCGACTATAATTAATTAAATCATGATTTGATTAACTAATCATGGGGGTTAATTTTAGCAAGATTTCAAATATTCGTACAGTACGATTGACATCGTACAATAAGATTAGTTCAAAAATCAAAATTTGAAATCTTAAATTATTCTGGAAGCTAGGGCTTTGAGATCGAAAACGAATCATACAGTACGATCACGATCGTACAATACAATTAGTTCTCCAAAACTAATTTTTCCCATTAGCCGTTAAGCCTATTTTCGGATAACAGATCGTACAGTACGATTTGTTAAAAAAAAATTACTTTTAAAAAATATTTCTCCCCTTGTGTGTGTGCTTGGTTACCCAATTTGCATACACTTTTATGTGGCCAGACTCAACAAAATAAAAAATAAAGAAAGTAAAAAATGACAGGCTCTTTTTCATCCTATTCTATCCAATTTTGAGTCTTCAACAGTCTTGAGTGGTATATATTTTACCTGAAATGTTAGTGCTCACAGACAAAAATAACATCTAAAATATTTAAGAAAGAATGTAATAATTCAGTCAATATTATTTGTCATCATCAGAATCACAGACTAGGGATCCTGAATTACAACAATAAGGAGGTTGCTGAATTGAAGAGTTGGAGAGTTTTAATTAATTAAATATTTAATTCATTAAAATACTAATTAACTGCTTAAATTAAAAATAATGAATTCTAATTAACCAATTGATTTAAACTTAATTGGAGCCTAAATTTGAAAATACAATAATTAATTATTGATTAATTAATTAAATCTTTTTAAAATTAACTAATAACTTTACCAATTTAAAAATATATAAGGTTTTAATTAATGTAATTAAAACTTCAAATTTAATTAAATTAATTGATTAGTTAATCAAAAATAAAATTAAAATTCTAATTAACTAATTATTAATTAATTAATTGATTGAGCAGGAGAGCCTTTTTATTAATTAATAAACTTAATTAATTACTCATTTAAAATATTAATTAACTAATTAATTAAAATATTAGTTAATTCAAATGTTACCAGAGCTCAATAATAAATTTTTTTATCAATTAATTAACTAATTTAAAATTATCAATTAATTAATTAATTCGTTAATTAATTTAAAAAAATGCAATAATAAAAAAGAAAGTATACATGAATGTTTGCACTAAACAAACCTAAGTATAATCTCATACCAACTAAACCCAAAACTCCTAAAACAAACAAATTAAAATTTTGAACATAGCTCTTAAACAACCCAACTCTCCAAACTCAGGTCCAAGCAGGCTCTTGCAACTATTAGCTCCAAATGCCTACAAGTAAGTAGACAAGAGTCGGAAGTATTACTGAAAGTAAAACTGCAGTGCTAAAAAGGGTAAAGTACTGAAACAAAACTAGTGCTGAAACTAAAACAAGGGTACTAAAACAAAAGCACAATTCTCCGGGCAGTAGGAGGTGCACACTAAATAAACTGCTGTCTAATAAATACAAACTAAATAGTTGCTGACTAACTCAATCAAATCTAAAACCATGAGCTACTCCTAATAGAAGCAGTAAGACTCATCCTTAAGTTAAATCAGGTTACTCTTAAGAGGTGCGATAAATCTTAATCAAACTAATACGCAGGCAACTTCCAAGGGAAGTAATAAGCCTTGATATTCGGGAAACTTCTAAAAAGAAATGATAAGCCCATTCAGATTTATAATTATTGGCTACTTCTAAGCAAAACAGTAAGATCCACTTTTAGTCAAGCTATTAGAGAAATTACAATGTGAATTGCGGAACTCTAAAAGCTAAACTATAGGCTACTTCCAAGGGAAGCTGTAAGACCTGCTATTTGGTAGACTTCCAAGAGAAGTATTAAACCCTCAAACCAAAACCCAAAATCGCCAGGCCACTTCTAAATGCAGAAGCCGTAAGACCTACCCAAAAACACAGGTACTTCCAAGGGAAGCTATACAAGCTGCTATACGGACAACTCCTAAGCATAGCCGTACCCGACCTAAATCTAAAACTTCGGGCAACTCCCAAGCGGAGCCATAAGCCCCGATCTAAACCTAAAACTACGAGCAACTCCCAAGAGTAGCCATAAGCCCCAATCTAAACCAAACCACCATAACACTAAAACCCATATTTAACTACTTCAGTTTACTTGGGATCCTTGAGATGATGTAAATCATGGTTGCTAATTATATTCCCTGGACACTATGATCAATGATTGTTTGTGTTGGTAAATTGAAACCTAAGCTATTCCCTGGATGACGGAACCATGAGATCTTGATTGGGTCTACCTCTATCCCTCTCAACCAAGATTAAAACGCTTACACTTCTAAAGTTAATTCATCCTTAATCGAGAGTTGTCTTCTACGCAGTACGAGGGGTAGTTAGCTATGAGAGCTTGCGCTTATAGGAAGTAGAAACCCAACACTAAATAAACCTTAATATAATTATAGAGGGAAATCTTGTTAATTAACATCCAATCTCTCTCAAGGAGAAATGGAACCTTACGCCTGGAAGCGGGGTTCGTGCCATAGGGCCATCTTTTTTTGAGCGAACAAGATACTATTGAAGATTGGAAGAGAACTTACATCTTCCATACTTATGCATCTTGCAATAGTAAGAGATGAAAGTTGGTCATGGATGGTGGAAGTACTTCCAATATTGCATGGTTTAACAAGACATCTCTACAAATCATTGAAAGATGTCTTGATCGTATTTGATTGGGTTCTTATTCTAACATTATACAGTGCAACATACCACCCATGGATGTCGTTAGCATTCTGTTAGGTCAACTTAGTTTTATAATATGGATGTTATTCATTATGGTGGAGCCCGCTTTCAAATTTAAGGGCATTACATTTACCTAAAACATCTTAACCTAATGAATAAATATCAAGTACCCTTATCAAAAAAAGTGTGAGCATGACGCCATGACTAAAAAGTAAAAACCAAACGCCAATTGAGGCTATTGAGCTATTTATGGCAACTAGCAATGAGTTTAACGTCATTGTTATGCTACTTTCTTGAGAGGTGCAATCTACCTCAACTGGTTGTACTATTTCATTTATTCTATTGCCTTTAGTAGAAGAAATATCCGACATTATAGCAGATGGACTACTTGGTGAGTTAGTAACATGATTTTTAACATGCAATAGATTTGGCATCGGATGCCCCTTTTACTCGGTCTATCCCATTATCACATGAATTTTAAGGAGCATGTTGAACTGAAATTTGAGGTAAGCTAATTTCTGCAAAAAGGCTACATTAAAGAAAAATTGTCCAGTTCCAACCTTTCTTGCCTGTAAGAAGGACGGGTCTTGATATATGTAAGTTGATAACTTAGCTATCAACAAGATGACTTCTAATATAGATTTTCCATTCGCTATGTAGATGATTCGTTGGGTTTAATTACTTCATTAAAATTTCGTTCAAGATTGATATTATGAGTGCTTATCACTAGATTAGACTTCCAGAGCTAGGGATGAATGTAAAAATGCATTGAAGATCCTCAATAAGCCTTTTGAATGGCTTGTCCTACGATATGGTCTTTCAAATGAATTAGCACTTTTTTATTGCTATGAATCAAATTCTTCATTCATATTTTTGTAAATTCATAGCATTGTAATTGATGATATCTTTATCTTTAGAAATACTGTGTCAGATTACTTGTGCCCAATTTTGATTTCACTTTGTGTTGAATAACTCTCTTAAATAAGTACTCATTCCTGCAACTCATGTTTACTTTCTTAGGTTTCATGATTGGCCAATGGGGTTTTTGCATATCCCATTAAGGTTAATGAGAGCCTAGATTGCGTCAACATAGGACAATATCTGATGTGCATAGTTTCCATGATTTTGGCTATTTTTTATTGTAGATTCATTAACGCATTTAGCACAATTCTTATATTTATTGATGTGTTAAAACATGCTAAGTCTCAGTAGACACATTCACAAAAAACTTCGACACTGTTTAAGAATTAATGATTGCTGCTCCAGTTCTTCAATTATTGGACTTCTCAATGGTTTTTGAAGCATTGGCGGGGTGCACTGGATTGTACTTTTTATTATGCACGCCCTATATATAAAACTTATGCTTGTGCAAATGACTTTGATCAGGATTTTGTTAACTGACAAATATATCATAACAATGCTCACCATTGCATAAATTCTGCAGGTATGCTAGCCTCTTCCCACAATTCGAACTTCTGGTATGCTGCATCATACAGGAGTTTGGGAAGAAGAAGGATAAATTTTCCGCTAGGAGAACTTATAAGGCGTTCAGTGGAGAATTTGATCGTGCCGATATGCATGTATGTCGAACTTTAATTGATGTATATGGTCTATGTGGCGACTTCTTGAAGTCAAGGCAACTGTTTGAGGTAATGTGCTCGATTGACTGTTTGCATCATTCTTAAGTATGCAATCCTGGTCATATAAGCTATTTCATTGGAGCATGCATGCTCTGCTGGCATATCTTCTTATCAGCATGCGGTTAGGTGGCTGTCTTTAGGCTTTTTCACAAATAATAATTAGGCCTTTTTTTGTTTGCTAAACAGAAAATTTCAGTTTTACTTAGGTAGTGCTAACCAAGCTAGGGCTGAAAAACTTCAGGCCTTAAACTTAAGGTCAAAATTCAGGATGAATTCAAAGATCATTATAATAAGTCTCATTTGGTTTCTTGTAGATAAAAAAAAAATGTTTTAGATAATGATGATTTCTTATTCACTCACTTGGTGTAAGAAAAGAAACCATCACATTTGACAAATTTCAAAGGTATTGGTAGTGTTTGAAGTCCATATTAATCTCTAATTACCTCAAACCAAATGATGGAATATCATAAATTTACCATTTCTTTGAAACATGACTTTTAACTTCAATCAACAAAATATTTCTTAAACATTTAATACATAGTGAACACATGTTTAGTAAGATGATCTGAAATAAAAAAAAATTGATTAAGAGACATTTGAAAACTATGGAAACTAGTTTTGAAAATTGTAGAAGACGATACAGATTAGATAACATTTATTACATAGCAGAAGCGCATCCAAAGCGTAACAACAACATAGTTAAAGCGCATCAAAATTGCAGTGAAGGTGCAAAGAATACACAAGTCATATTGACATTATCTAAAAAATTTTTCTTACACATTTAATTCGTAGTAAACACATATTTAGTAAGATGATATGAAATAAAATAACTCATTTTATTATAATGAATTTTATACAAATATTGATTTTAATACAAAGTTATTTTTAATTTAACAAACAATCATTAAAATTAAAATTATTATAATCGCATCTCTGAAGCAATGATATCCATCATCATCCTTGTGTACTTAGGCCCTGGCTAACTGGTTGCTTGAGAAATGCATTTTCCATGAAGGTGAAGACATTTCTGTTATATTTTCCTTGACGATAAGTTTCTCTATTGAAAAAATTAAGTTTAACAAAACATACATTGTCTCATAATATATAATGAAAAGCAATTAGTCCTAGTGGCCCTTCAGTCGTGCATTAAAGACGCCTATAGGCCTACACTTTGGTGGATCTTTCAATTTTGTAATATCACCCTGTATATTTACTATAATCTTTTTCTTTCCATCAATAATCAAGTCGATATTTTCAGCCATGTCTGTCATTACAGCCAACATGTACTGCTCGGCCTTCTCATTCTTCTATGCTTGTGTGCTAATTTGATATGCAAATCTGCAGAGATGATTTCTGAATATGAATCCACTACCAGCTTCAGAATTATTCTTTCTTGTACCTATGCCCATGCGGTCTGAATATATATATTTTCGAGCTCTTGCTGACCATCTCAGCATTAGGTACTTCTCAGAAATTTTCACAATATCCAGCTGCCTCAAAACTCTCATGTAGTGAGACCACAACAAACTTAACGTCTCAAACTTCCTACAAGTGCATTAAATGCTACAATCTATTGCATTAAAATGAACAATCGAATGGTTAGATTGATCATTATTCTTTGTGCACTTGAGAGAAAAAACTTCGAAGAATCACTCGAGAAAAAGTTTATACTCATTCCACCCACACGCTATAAAATTCTTCTTTAAAAAATGAAAATAGTTTTCTTGAAAAAAATCAAGTAGTTTGCTTTAATATTCCGCTATTTTTTATTATATGTACTATTTCAGACTGGATGCATTTATAATCCTCATCTTGTTCATTTTGACGCCAAGTCATTATCACCCTCTCTAAGCCTAGAAAACAATCAGTTATAGAACTTATGGGCTTCGAAATGCCTTGACACACATTATTAGTAGACTCGCAAAGCTGTATGGATAGAATTCCTAGCAAAAATAGTCCTTATTGAATGATGTTGACCACTTATTCCTTATCATATAAAGATCTTCCAATCAATCATAGCTGTGGAGGTTTCCTTCCGTGATCATTTTAGCCCATATTTTTCTCAAACTCCTTAGAGTTACACTCGCTCAAACACTTATAGAAGAGTCCTCTGACTTTTTTGTTGCTTTTGAAGCACCTGACTTTTGATGGAACCTTTTTAGATATGTGTCATTGACACAGTTTATGACGAGTGTGAAGTAATGCAACTTCTATGGCCCTAACCATTTCCTAGTCCTGATCAGTAAATATTATTATTGGATGTTATCACCCATCATTCGTACAAATATCCTGAACAACCATGCAAATAATTTAATTGTTTCCTCTGAGAAAAAACCACCCCTAGCAAAATGTTATACCAATGATTATTAACCCCGATAAATGGTGCACAAACTAAATTATATTTATTAAGCCTATAACTAGTATCAGAAATCACTATATCTCCAAAACAGTCTTAATCTATCTTACTCATCCCATCAATAAAAAAAAAATTTAACAATATATCAAATTCATCAATTTGGATGTCTTATATGAACACGTCATCAATTTGATGATCTTTAAATAATTGAATCAAAGAATTAGTGTCCTCAAATTCAATCTTTACTCTTTTATCTTTCTAAATAAAGTTGTATGCATCCCTCTTAAAAAATCCAACATTCTCGATACCTCCAACTTCATCTGCAATGTAGGGAAATGCATCAAAGGTTCTTATCCCAACTTATGTTATTGATTTAAGAATTGAAGCTTTCTCATCATCAATATTCGTATATGATCTCAAGAGATGTTGGTCTGCTGGTCTAGCTAATTCATGATTGTGGGTTTCAATAAAATTTTTCACCTTCCAATTTTCAGCGTCATCAACCTAATCATAGTTGGACAACCCGTTTTGGTGTCTGATTTTTGATATTTTGTTTGGGAATTTAGATCAACTTTCTTCTTGAAATCAGATTTTGAATTGACAAAGTTCTTACATTTTATCTTTCTAGAATTTGGCCAGTAACTGTGGTGATTCTTGCGCACACTAAAACCAGAATTATGGGCATAACTGCAGTAAACCTCATATGCCTTTTTCTCATCCTTAAACACACCCTGTCAATACGCAGTATAAGCACAACAATAAAAGCTTAGCAAAAACCATAGTAAAATCTCCCAATTTTATCCACTCAGCGGCAAAAACATAGTAAATACGCAGTTTTTACTATGTATCATAGTGCTTTTACTAGGTATCTTTGCTTTACTGCATTTGTACTAAACTTTGACGCGCTTTTGAGCGCAACTAAAGCCGAGTCCAATGCTAGGCTTTGTTTTAACATGGACCTTTTATCCACACAGCGTAACCCATTTAAAAAATTATAAAAACTTGAGAAACCCTTATAACAACTTGGGATGAATTAGAAATTTACCGAAAAGTTGAAACCTGCAACAGCTCCAGCCATTTTAACTTTTGTTTCCTAGACGTCTACATAACTCCTTTCAGCCTCTGCGTCCTGTGAGCGTGTCATCTTCGCGAAGAATGTAACGTTCTCCTTAATCTTTATCGGTTGTTTCTTGTTTTTTTCTTTCTCAGCAAGTATTAAAAGTTCCGCAAAAGTCTCAGTTATTGGATTTGGGAGCTTTCACAGGTTTTTTCGTAAAATGGAGCGTCAACCCTAAACTAGTTTTCCCAAAAGTAAAAAATTCTGGGTCGGACCGGTTTGGAGGGGCTGACAAGACAGAAATAAAAAGTGAAATCCAATTAAATATCCATATGTTTCCTCCGCATGTCAAGATTTTATTGTAGTCCAGACGCAAAGCTACGTTCATTCTCCTCTTTTTGCTCTCTAGTTTTTGTTGATTATTTTGCTAATTTATTATATTAATAGTTTGATAGAAATATTCTCTTTTACAAATATTAGACGCATGATCATTGCACTTTTACTTTTAGGGAGGTCATGCATCAAATATTTAAAATTATTAAATTAATGAACATAGGTGAAATGATGTGCCTGATTTTTTTGTTATTTAATATTTTGCTGTGATGACTATTTTTAGTATTAGGTGTTTTTACAGTATTTTAAAGAACGCTTTGTATACACAATAATGTATAAGCAAAAGTTTTTGACTTAGCACAAACTTTCAATGCTCTTCCTGGTATTTGACAAATAGGTATATATATTTAAATCACAAGTGGTAAGGACAAAGAGTAGAGAGATTACCAAAATTTATATCTTCTAATCATTTATATTTTCGTGTAGATTTAAGAGCCTGAGTATGTAATTAAAAGTTATGTTTCTTTTTCTATTATTATTAGATATACAGAAGTCAGTTTTTTTAATTATAAGACATATTCTATATTATTTTATAACCATCATAGTTAAATATTTTGTGTATACCTATAATTTCTTTATAGTTTGTTGATATTTTGTCTTCGCTTTATTATTATATGAGATTATCTGAGATATAAATGATATTATAATAGATTGAAGATAAAATATTTTCCATCAACTTTAATAAATTGATAAATAATTAAAATTTTTAAGAAAATAGTTTTTTACGTAAAAATTTAAGCTACTCTTAAATTTTTAAAAATCTAAGGTACTCTTAATTGTTTTTTTAAAATAAAATTTGCTCTGTTTATATCCCTTAGACGAGATACAAAATTGAGCTAGCTGGCGATCAAAACCTCCAAGTGCTTGTGCATATTAATCCTGCATAATAGAAATATCTTTCACACTTAAGGGCATATAACTTTATTAGGTATTGAAAGTTCGTTAAGGATGTTAAGCCCTTATGAACTAGCCCGAGGCTAACCAGGGGGGGGGGGGGAATTGGGGGGGGGGTGAATTGACAGTTTTAAAAATTCTTAAGCAAAAACGATTTTGAAAACTTTTCTGAATGTTTTAAAATAATTACAGTTTTTTTTAAAGAGAATGTATATAGCAAATTTTATTAAAGATAACTACTTACAATCACATTCCTCCTTTAACAAATTAAGAAAGGTAGGAGGAATATTATTAGAGCTAATGTCATCC